TTATTCCTCTTTCAAAGGCAATTTCAAGTGCCACCAACTCTGTGAAGCCCTTCCTGAGCTCTTCCTCCTCCCCAGGTTCTCCCCTTCCTCTGAAGACCTTCAGTGCCATTTTTTCCTCTTACCACACTGAGCACTGCTCCCTGGTAATATGGCATTGTTCCCCTCCTCTACAAGGTCCTGAGTGGTTGAGGGCAGGCTTCTCTCTTACTGATATCCTCCCAAACGGTGCCTGCCCGTGGCCCTGACGTGGTGTGCAGTGGGCGCTCACCACACTGGGATGTGTAAGAAGAGTTCATGGGGGAAACCATACCTCCCAATTCACTCTAGTGCTCCGCCATTCCCAGAGGCTGCAGCTGGTGGGCCATCTGCTGTCACACAGTTGGCTGCCAGGACCCTGGCATGGGCACCTCCTGCTAACCATATCCCATTTAAGGGTGACAGTCTGAGCCCAAACAAAACAATTTTCCCAGGCATGAGGATTGCAGAAACTGAAAGGCAGCTCCTGGCAGCCACCCCAGGGGAACACCAAATTTAGCCCAAAAGTTGAATATAAGTGTATTTTAAGTGTGTTAATTTCAAAAATAGCATCTTTACATTAAAATAGTTTACAAAATTAAGAGAATTAAAGCACCCCCACCAATCCACCAAATTGCTTTCATTTTTGTTTGTTTCCCTCAAGTCTTTGCTCTTATAAATGCCTTTTTTTTTTTTTGGAGATAGGGGTCTTGCTATGTTGTCCAGGCTGCCCTGGGACTCCTGGGCTCAAGTGATCCTCCCACCTCAGCTTCCCAAATAACTGGGACTATAGATGTGCAATGGGATACCACACCAAGCATGAATGCCTAATTTTACACATCATAATCATGCTACACATACAATTTTGTGTCTTGCCTTTTTACTTAAGAATATATGATGAGCACTTAAGAGAAGTATAAGGCAGGTTTGAATCCCAGTCCTACTGCCTAGTCACTGTGCAAGTTACTGAATCTAAGTCTCAGTTTCCTTATCTGTAAAATGGGGTCAAATAACCTCATAGGATTACTGTAAGGATGAAATAGCAATTCATAAAATCTCTTAGCACAATGCCCAGAAAACAGCAAGCACTTAATAATTGAAGGTGTATTTCATTATTACTGTTAAAATATGCAAGGGTTTTTAAATTGACTTTTCCCCAGTCAACTACACCCTACACAAGTTTTTATAATGGTTTCAAATGTGCAATTTTACCTCAAACCTTTGTAAATGTAAACCCCTCCAGGTTATATTTTATCACATTGAAAGACAAGTCCCAGGAAGGTATAAAATAACTTTCTACCCTTCCCTGAATCCCCCTGTTGACTGAAGAGCAGCTGCTGCTGGAGGGGATTTAGCCTTGGCCAGGCTGCAGAGCCCAGGGCAATGAACACTCCTGAAAGGATCCTGCATGGTTCTCACTTTCTCTGAGAAACCCTTTGTTCACAAGTACATGCACACAGTCCCATAAGGGCCTTGAATCCGGCTAATGGAAAATTCAGTCAAGTTGAAGGGACTGACGGGGCTTGAGTCTTGTTTCCAAGCCATGGCCTCCCCGGGGCTGTGCTACCCTTAGCTGAAGGTGGTGATAGATAAAGAAAAGCATTAGCCTCCATCCCCCAAATCATCTCCCCACCCGCTGGCTTGATGAGGTGCTTAGAAGTCTCACAGTTGTCATTCCTTTGGTTTAAGGCTTTGAAGGTACTGTATCTATAAACATCATATATATTGCCACCCATAGCTTGACTCAGTTCATTCATCCACACCTCTGTAATTCTGATAATGGGCCCCACAAGAGTACAAGAGCCTGCTTGTACTCTATCCAAGACGCTATCCTAGTGCCTTGCTTAGTAACCCAGCTACTAGGATGAAGCTCCACTCTGCCCATGTCAGACTCCCTTCCCTGAGTCTGGAAGTCCAGCTCCAAATCCAGATCAGGGTCTGGAGCCTTACTGCCAGCTGAGACATGTCCCCAACAGTGCCTGCCTGCCTGTCTGGTGTCTTACACAACCTCCGTGGCCTGGCTTCCCTGCTATGTGCTCCTCCACCCTCTGCATTCCCCACCTCTCTGTGTACTTGATGTTTTGCTGCTTTGACTTTCCTGATGCTAAGGCTACTCTGGGCCATGCCCTGCTGACTCTCTCCCAGTGCCTTTGGATATAGTCTTCTTCCAACAAGCCTGGACTGGACTCCCTTCTGTACCCGAGCACCCCTGCCTCCCCTCTCCAGTCGTACCCCATGGAATAGGCCAAAGTGTGTTATCAGAATTGATACTAGTGGATTCTGACAGTCTTCCTGATCATGAAAAAAAAAATAGGGCTTTTAGAACTTAACATATATTTTCTTGTTTTAATTCAGATCTTTTACATATGCTCCTTTTGCTTCCTTGAGTGAAAAGATTTCAGTCTTTTGAATTTTTTGTAGAAAGAGGTATGTGTGTTTTGCTACAGTTGGTGCCAAACTGTGCTGTTTTAGTTGCTGCTTGAATTCTGTCTTTCAAAAATGTTGGACCAAAGTGAGATAAGGGAAAGCTGTATTCTGGAATTTTCTGGAAGGAATTTAGATTTACTCACCTGGGTTCTTCCCCTGCGCATCAGTGCCTGGCTTCTAAACTGTCACATCTCACCTTCAATGTTACCTCCTCAGAAAGGACTTTCTGCTGCCCTATCTGAATACTAGAATCTCTCAGCCCACCTTTGTTAACCCCTTGTTTCTTTCATGACACTTGTCACAATTTAAATTATTTTATTTATCCCTGGGTGTAGTGAATCACACCTGTAATCCTAGCACTTTGGGAGGCTGAGGCGAGCATATCACTTGAGGCCAGGAGTTTGAGACCGGCCTTGCCAACATGGCAAAACTCCATCTCTACTAAAAATGGTGGTGCATGCCTGTAATCCCAGCTACTTGGGAGGCTGAGGCACAAGAATCGCTTGAACCCAGGAGGCGGAGTTTGCAGTGAGCCAAGATCGCACCACTGCACTCCAGCCTGGGCAACACAGTGAGCCCTGTCACACACACACACACACACACACACACACACAAAAAAAATTATTTTATTTGTTTATTTGTGTTAGAGTGCCTTCCCCACCAGACTGTAAGATCCAAAAAGCAGGAACCATGTCTGGTTTCTAAAATTATACTCCTAAAGCCTAACAGAATGCCTAGCTGAAAATAGCTGGTCAGTAATTCTTTGTTGAGTGACAATATTTTCCACTTGAAACAACAATAAAAAACTATAGATCCTACCTATCTCTGATGACCATCAAGTGACCAATGAAAGGAAAAATCCCTAATCATATTCTACTTAAAAATCTAGGATTTAAAAACATCTGTTTATTATCAAGGACCAACTGCAGGGGCTTCCAGAACTTCCTGAGGATTGGGACGTGGGCAGCTCCCTCCAGCCTCGCTGTTTTCCTGATTTCCACATCATGACAGCAATCCTTCAAGATGCCTGCAAGATGCCTACTGTCCTTGTTCTTCTGTTTTTCTCTCTGGTATCACAATTTGCTATTAGGAAAAAATCTGAAACCCATTCATACTATGATTTTACATAGGAGTATTATTAGCATTTAACCACTTAAACACTTGAGCCATTGGAATGAAACATTCTGGTAGACATTCTGTTCTTATCTGGCACTGGAGGAAGCAATTTAAGGAAATGGGCCTAAAGGGGCCTGCAACTCGGAGTGTGTTCACTCTGTTACCAACCAGATTATGCTCTTTAGTGATGAAGCTTTAGAAGGGAGGGAGAAAGAAAGAAAATGAGAGTAGACATACATGAGGTTGAAATCTTACTATAAGTTCCTTAGTTTTTGCAGTCCGGCATAAAATGAACTGTTAAATGTTAATGACTATGTTTTAAAACTGATTTTTATTTTTCTAGGAGAAAAAAAATGGGTTCCAGGTGCTTTCTTTAGTTGGACTACCGCGGTATCTCTGGGTGGAGCACCTTATCCTCAGACAGAGGCCAGGGGTACTCCTAAGTCTCCATATTGGTGTCATAATATGCGTTCTATGATCTCTTTGCAAGACCCTTTTAAAAAAGCTTTCCTGCCCTGGTAAAGAAGACTGATTGGTAGGTAAGATTACACTTCTGTCTGTCTTTCCTAATCTTCTCTCGGAAATGACACCCATTTGTTGGTGAAAGGCTAGGTGGTCGGTCCCTTGACCCCTTGTTTGCAGCAACAGTTATTTCTCTTCTTCCAAATAGATGAAATATCAATCAGGGAGCCAGTGAGAAGCAGCCCCACTCTCAGGGAACTCTCCTGGGCGTCAGTTTACGTATCTGTAAAATGGTAATACAAAGACCTTTTTCACAGACTCATCCTTGGGGTCTACACTTCTCTAAAGCCTTCTCATTTTTTAGGTCCAGGTCAGGTCTCCCCTCTTTTCTGTGTAGTTTGTTAGTTTTTTGTTTTGTTTGTTTTTTATGTATCACCTCCTGGAGCCTATGGTTCCTAGAACTGATGATACATTAATTCCTGTTTAATTCTATTCTAATTGTTAGAATAGAATAATGTGAGTTAATCTGATCACATTAGGCAGATTGTGGGCTTGATAAAGAGAAGTTTTGGAATCATCCCTCAACATCCCATTTCCAAATACTGTGTATTCAAAACAATAACAAAAATAATCAGATAATAACAACAATTACCATGTAATGACTGTTATTTCCCAAGCACTCTGCTGAACTCTTTACAGTCAACTCAGATAACAGCCCTATGAGGTAATTAACAGCTCAGTTAACAGCCCATGAGGTAGATATTAACGGGGCCCAGTTTACAGATGAAGAAACCAAGGCTCAGAGATTGTCTTGCTGGAGTCCAGATGTAAGTTAGCAACTGGAATTTTAACCCTTGCATGCCTGACTTCAAAGCTCTTTGCATTACTGGCTTACTGATGGGTACAGTCCAAGCGCTCCCTTCCCCACCAAGTCTGCCATCCTCTTGTAGTCACAGCATGAAGTGGACAACAAAAGAGAGACAGATGTAGAGATAGATTTTATTTAGACAAATGACACATTTTACTTAATTTTTCCTTTCTAAAACCCTCACCATCAAAGATTGATCCCACAGAACTTCCAATTCAAGAACGCTCATTTCATAAAACATTTCAGAGATAGAAGGAGAGAAAATATTAATGCTAGGCAATAGATTAAAAGGTGTCCCCTCCAGGGACCTGGGATGATTATAGACATTCCTTCCTAAATGGCATCCTAGTCACTTTCCTCCACTTGCCCACTCCCATTTTTCTTTCCACCCAACAATAGCATCCAAGTATCAGCAGAGGGCCCAGAGACGGGCAGGTGAGTCAGAGGTTGAACCTCCTGAGCCTTTAGCCTCCTCTGTCCCAACCTCTCGTGCCTATCTGTTTAGGTTAATAACACCAAGACAGTGAGGCTTAGCCCCTCTGCGAGGCAGCCAGAGAGGAGAGCAGGAAGACACAAGTTTCTCTGTGGTTTCCTTTCCTTATTTCAGGACTCCCCTAGCCTTTACCCATCCTATCAGCACATACACACACACACACACACACACACACACACACGTGCATTTTAATAATGCAATAATCTCTCTATAAGTCTCAGTATCCAACAATTCTGAGCATCCTTTACCTTCATCCAAAACAACAGTAACCCATTATGGATCCAGTGAATACAGAAACAAGGCCAGTCCCTGGAGAAGGCAAGGCTTTTCTACAGCCCCCACTTGGCAGTCTCATTAGGGGCACTAGGGAGACATAGGAATCTCTGTGCTCTTTAAATAAAGGCCTTGCCAAGAGAGCTGGAGATTCCCCTACTATTTCCATGCCCCTGCTAAAGCCTCCAGGAGAGGGAGATCTGGGGGCCTCCATAGCTGTTATCACACCTTCTCTTGGCACTAAGTTGGCAGTCAGCAAAGGAAGTAAATAGGAGGGGAATATAGTTTTCCAGTGTTTTCTCTCCTATTTTATTTTCATCTTCACAGCAGAATTTTTTTTCCACAAGAGGAATCTGAGAAGTACAATGCTTTCTTTGTTTTAACAAGGCCTGGGGAAATTCCACTGGCCTCAGTGGCTGGGGATCTGGTCAGGGTTCGAGAGAGGACAACGGCTTCTTGGATATCCCTGTCGATAAGGCCTTCAGGGGATGGCTGGGTGAACAGCCAAGGGAGAAAGGGAAGGGATGGTTTCTATCATTGGATTGAACTGTAAAGGAGCTGCAGGATGACAGATGTTGGCAGGAATTCCAGTGGAGTTTGTGTGTACAGTGACTCCCCAGCAGAGCTGACATCTTCACAGGCTAGGTGTACACCCTGGCAGAAGGAAAGGTTGCAACATCACCAAGGTGGGGCATTTGCCAAAGGTATATACCAAGGCATTTGTAAAGTTGAGGCTGCTGGTAAAGTTCCAAGAAACCCTTTTTAAGACTGAGTAGAGGGAGGAGAAGCCAAAGGTAACCCAAAGCCATCTCACCACTACTCTGAGGAATGGTCCATGGAGATAACAGACTCAAGGAGCACATACAATGCAAGTTCCTTGATTCATGCTCTCTGTTGGCTGGGAACTTTGAGCTCTTCCTTGGAGGAGGGAGGGTGATCAGGTCAAGGAGGTAGGAACTTAAAGAATGCATCTGGTATGTTGCTGGTATGTAGAGAGAGAGTCATTCTATCCCTCTGGCTATCCCTTCCAGGCCAGCTTTTGCCATGCTTCCCTTCCCTCCCTCTACCTTGTTTCATGAGTAACCTGAAAGGCTTCATATACTGGGTAGAGGGTGGGGAGGGAACTGCAGTCTGGGTGGATAGTCATGTCTCTTACTATCCCAGAGCCCTGATTACAGTTTCTAGAATTAATGAGCAATGTCATTGAGACCCAGGGTCCAAAGGAGCCAAGCAGTGATGACAGTGAGAAAGCATCAGTTCAGAAGAGAGAAATCTTTCCTCTCTCAGCCTCCTTTGTTCCCACCTGGTCCTGGTCCTCCCATAAAGGAGGGTCACACTGATAGGTCATCCGACCTGGCCTTGCTGCTGGCCTTACTAAGACGTCGCTTGTCGCTATGATAGCCATGGGGAAGGCGGTGACCTGGTGAGACTCCATTGGGCACCTCAGGCTTCTGGCCATAACGAACCTGGATGAAACCTTCCCCAGGAGTCTGCTCCTGACCTCGCACTTGCTCAGTGGCCAGGTTGTCTGTGTTTTGTTGGGAGGCCATATTATTGCTGAAGGGATTGAAGAATTTTCCCCCAGGGCCATTCTCCAGGCACTGATTAAAGTCGGGGGGTGGTGTGCAACTCTGGACCATGCTCACAGAGGGGCCAGAAAGCTGGCACTTAGCCACGTGCTGCCGCGGCTTGACAAATCGCTGTCTGATCTTCTTCCAGCCCAGGTGGTAGAGCTCAGCTAGGCTAAGGAGGAGGGACAGTGCAGCCACAGCCAGCATAAAGACAATGAAGACGTTCTTCTCTGTGGGCCGGGATACGTAACAGTTGACCGGGTGGGGACAGGGACTCCTGCGGCAGACGTGCAGGGTGGTCAGGAAGATTCCGTAGATGAGGTACTGGCCCACAATGAAGCCCACCTCCATGGTGGTGCGGATCAGGATGCTGCACACATAGGTGTTGAGCAGAGAGCCCTGGAGGACAATCCTTCCATTCCCTTCCTCCCAGCAGGACAGTTCTGCTTTCTCAGCCACCGGGTACTCGTAAGAGCCAGAGCGCTGGACCTCTTTGGCCCTCTCGGCCTCCCGTAGCTTGCGCTTCTCCTGCATGCGCACAGTGTGCATGGCGTGGCCCATGTACACCAGAGAGGGCGTGGAGACGAAGATGATCTGCAGCACCCAGTAGCGAATGTGGGAGATGGGGAAAGCTTGGTCGTAGCAGACGTTCTGGCAGCCAGGCTGAATCGTATCACACCGGAAATCAGCCTGCTCATCCCCCCAGGAAGACTCAGCAGCTGTGCCCAGCACGAGCATCCGGAATATGAAAAGGACAGTGAGCCAGACTTTGCCTACTACGGTCGAGTGCTTGTGTACTTCCTCCAGGAATTCTCCCAGGAAGCTCCAATCGCCCATCTTGGCACAGCCAGGTCACAGATGGCAAAACTTCTGCAAATGGGGGAGAGAGAAAGCGAGAAAAGGAGAAGGATGTTCTGTGAAGGTCTGGAAGGTCTATCATGTTCTGGGATTCCACTGATCCATCCAGTGGGTTCGTTAAGACAATGCAACTTAGAAGTCAAAGCAACCAAAGAAAAGCTCTCTCTCATTTCCCAGCAAAAATAAAAAGAAAGAGAAGATTCAAAGTAGCCATATTAGCAAAATTAGAGCATGGCTCCCACACTTTAACGGATCTAGAAATCGAGGTGTGTTACAATATGGATTCTGCTCTTGCCCCAGTAATTCTACTTCAGGAGGTCTGGGATGGCCCCCAGGAATCTGGATTTACAACAAGTGGCCCAAGTGGTTCTGATGTAGGCAGCGAGGGACCGCACCTGGAGAAACACGATTATTAAAAAGAACACAGGATTGGGATCTGCAAATGTGACTGGGCATTTACCTCACTGAGTCTGTTTCTTCATTTATCAGACGGGGGTGGGAATAGCTACACCAGAGAATTCTGAGGATTAAGTGATATGAAGTATGTGATATTCTGAAAATCATTCCACAACTGTTCCAAATGTTTAAATGGCTGTTGGATGGAAAAGGAATATTTTTATGGCTCCAGAGGGCAGAACTAGGTGGAGGAGGAAAGAGTGAGGATGCAGTCGGCAAATTTGGCCTCTCAGGAAGCACTCTGCAAAAATCAGAACCGTCCAGCATAGACCAGCTGTGTTGGGAGGTGGCAAACAAAAAGTGTGCTTTGGTCACACCAGCTAACCGTATCGCAGATAAGTGCTCACTTCCTCTGGCTGGTAAGGCAAAGTTGATCTCCCATGCCTCAGTGCAACACAGCCATTCCAACCACACAGCTCAGCTCGCCCTGCTGCTAAGTTTCTGTGTCTCACTTAAGTAAGGTTCTCACACACACATCTATCCACCCTTATATCCAGAATAAATGTCTCAAAACTTTATGTCCCTTACAAAATCCTCCCTCATCTGGCACTTGTCTGCTTTTCCAGCCTCTTCCTGCCTGTCCACATGAGTTCCTTTTGTCCAGCCATGCTAAGTCTTTCCAAATGCCCTCCTTCTGTACCTCTACATGTCCCCTCACTCCTAGCTGAATCCCATTTACCTTTCAAAACTTAACCCAGTCATTGCCTCCTCCAACCCTCCCTCTTCCCTGAAGCTGAGCCTCTTCAGCTCCTGTGATGGTCCCCAGGACACTTACTTGTCTCCCAGCGCTTGCCGCCTTGTGTTGTAATCCTCTGCCTGTCTGTGTTCTCCCAGTAGGGACTGTTTGAAAATGGGGACTGTCTTCTCTTCTGTATCACCAGAGCCTGGCCCACAGTAGGTGTTTAATACATGTTAGTTGAGTGAAGGAAGGAGGGGCTAACAGGCACTGTTGTTTCCTACCCAATAGGAAACCAATTCCCTGTTTCTTGCCTGCCTCCCATTGGCAGGGTGGAAAAGTCAGGTATTGCTTTCTCAATCTCCTCTGCAGTTAGTTCTGGTAGGTGAGGTATGGGGAGAATCTAAAGTAGAGGGAATGCTCCAGAAAAGGTTCTTCTACCTCCCAGTAAATGGAGAGAGCCTCACTCACAGTGCTCCTATCCCCCTGTGACAAGAGGGAACCTCACTCACAGTGCTCCCATCCCCCAGTGAATAGGAGTGAGCTCCGCTTGCCCCCACCGCTTCCTGCCTGTGGACAGAGTTGTATGAACCAAGATGTCTAAAGCTGTCCAGAGAATCTCAGAAATGTCAACCAGTGCCCTGAGGCCTCTGAAGCAACTCTTGAGGCTCCCTACCTCCAGAATTCTTACTTAGTGAATAATAGATGTTCTTACAGTGTAAGTCTCTAATCATTCCTAACCAACAGGATGACAAAGATCTCGGAGGGAATGGAGCATAAATATTCCTTTCTTAGAATCATAAAACCTCAGATTTGGGTGGGACTTTAGAGGTTTGTCAAATTCAAAATTGACCTTCATATCTTTGCTGCCAACGTGCTCCTGGTTTCTGTCTGAACATTCTTCAGCCTTGTGGGGAAAGATGGGGTCAGGGTGGTGCATTTTATAGTCCAGGCTTCCTCAGCTCTTGAGTTGATTGTTGCCTTGACAGGGACCAACCTCCTGGCCCTGTCTTCTCTCAGACCCCAGGTTCCCCACCTTGAGAGTATACAGAGTCCCTGGGAATGAGGGAGTTCCTGAGTGAGCAGAAAGGGTCTTATCTCTGCTCCTCTCTATATCAAAGACCCATCCATGTATTGAGGCCTTTCCTGTCATTTGTGATCAGACATCTGCCCCATTTCCTTAGGTGGCGAAGCGCCCCCTCTTTCAGCCTCCAAATGTGGAAAATTGTGGAGCGTGTGCTCAAAAGGAAAATGGCTGATTAGATAAGAGTTTGAATTGTCTGTCCTCTCTTCTGGGCACATATACAGTGTTCAGCATCTTCAGGGTCAGCCACACACGTGCAGTGACTGAACTATGGTGAGTGTCTGAGAAAAAGAAGGAGGGAGAGAAGGGGAGGAATAAAAAGAAGAGAAGAAAAGGCAAGGACAAGGGGGAGTTGGAAATGGAGAAAAAGACTATGTAAGGGTTAAGAAAAGACAGATGCGGGAGTTAACTTACTGAGGTTTGACAAATTTCTATTACCATCTGCTGGGCTTAGATAAATGATTCAATCTGTGTTTCACTTTCCTCACCTGCAAAATGGACATACTATTAACTCATAGAGTGCTATGAAATGAAGCATACAAAGCACTTAACACAGTGTTCAGCAAATAAGAACTGAATCAAAGGTAGCCATTACTAGCAATGAGAGTGGTGGGGAAGGATGAGAGGTAGAAGAAGGAGGGAGAAAGAGAAATTAGAAAGTAGAGAAAGGTACATTACAAAGGAGAAAAGAAATGGAAGCAAGAGTAGAAGGGGAGGAAATGAGAAGAAAATGGAAATAGAAAGGAAACAAAAAGAAACAAAGGTCATATTCTTCCAGGATTTGGGGCAAGTTTTCCACACTCAGTCCCTGAAGACTTCTCCCTTGATCTCACTCTGTCACTCATTCCTTGCAAGTCCCCAAGGAAGTATAAAAATAGTTCCAGAAAGGGTCAAAGAATGTGACCCTTTGGTCTAGTCTGCCAAGAGGCTTGACTGCTGACTCCTTCAGTGCTGTCCAAGGAATTCCACCTGGAAGAGGTAAAGCACAGGTACAAGAAAGGAACACCTTGGAAAACCAGAAAGGCAGTATTAGGAAGGACGTCTTATTGGCAGGGAACAAGAGATACTATCTGAGGAGGTGTGGGGGTGAGGCAGACCTCCTGGGCCCAGGCAGAGGAAATAGGGTGAAGGGTTTTTCATGTATGACTTCCTGCTGACGCTCAGGCAAGGTCAGAGAAACTTAAAATTGCTGCCGTGTACCAGATGCTCAGTTTAGAATGGGAAAGGTCTCTGACTGTAGTTACTTTTCCAGCTACGTTGGCTTCCTTTGGATACCCCTATCTCAGCCACAGAAATTTGTAGATTAGATACTCAGTGAGTTTACTGGGCGTATAGCATATAAACTACTTTGTAGATTATTATCTGCTTCTTGGCAGGAAGTGTGTTAGGAGGGGCGTAGGAAGCTGCCCATGCCATGAATAAATGCTATCAAACACAATGGCAATTTACCTCACTGCTTTAGCAGTCCACCTCACTGCTTTAGCAGTCCTCCTCACTGGCTTCCTACCACTTAGAAAGTCTAAGCTGCTTAACTTGCCATATGAAACCCTGTACAGTCTCATGCTGTCGTTTTTCCGCTTTTCCACTCACACACTCAATACTTAAGCTACACAGTTTCCCATGTACATATACACATCTCACCATTTCTCACCCACGTATCTTGGCTTCTTATGTTCCCTCTGCCTAGAATGTCCTTTTTTTCATTCATTTAATAAGTTTATTGAGTGACTACAGGGTGCCAGCCATCATTCTAGACAATGAGGATACAGCAGGAAGGAGGGGAAACAAACAAGGATTCCCTGCCTTCACTGAGTGTAACTGTCTTTATACCCCTTAATTAACAGCAGACAGTAAATACATAATTTCAGTAAAACATGATGCGTGTTAACATTAAAGAAGTATAAGGTGTTATGGGAATGTGGGGCAGGAGCCCGAATCTGGTTTATGGGTTTTGGGGAGGGTCCTAGGGAATTGTGTTCTAAAGCCCTCTGCCACTGATACAAGTTCTGAAATCAGCAAGGCAAAAAGAGATGGTCCCTAGAACCTGGAAGAGAACCATCCCAACTCTAAAGGTTCTTCACTCCCAAACCTCCAACGTCCTCTTTCAACATGTCCTATCCTGGGATAAAGCAAAATTTGGAGGGGCCACTAGGGAACTTGTTTGGCAATAGTAACATGATGCTAGATAAGAGGAAGAGGGCCAGAGGAAGGATTTTGTGTATAGTGAGCATAAATCATTTTCTGCTTTTATTTTGTGAACTATATGGCCAAATGGCCAGAAATAAAACTCAGGCACCTACATTCTTAATCCAGTGTTCCTTTTTTTTTTTTTTTTTTTTGAGATGAAGTCTTGCTTTGTCACCCAGGCTGGAGTGCAGTGGCACCATCTCAGCTCACTGCAACCTCTGCCTGCCAGTTTCAAGCAATTTTCCCTGCCTTAGCCTCTGGAGTAGCTGGGATTAGAGGCGTGTGCCACCATGCCTGGTTAATTTTTGTATTTTTAGTAGAGAAGGGGTTTCACCATGTTGGCCAGGCTGGTCTCAAATTCCTGACCTCAGTTGGTTCTCCCGCCTTGGCCTCCCAAAGTGCTGGGATTACAAACGTGAGCCACCGCGCCCAGCCCAGTGCTCCTTCTTGTGGTGACATTGTGGTCTCCCTACACGGCCAATGTTTTTCAAAAATCATTTCAGAGCAACCCGGATTAGTCATAAACTCATAGCCAGAACCTTTTCCGCTGACTCCGCAAATCTACAGCAAAATGGAGAAGTCTTCTAAAATTGACCTCAGCCCTCTTTGGTGTCTCCTGAACTCCAGAAGACTCTAAATTACCATCCAGCATGCAGGATGCATTCTCACACTTGGTTATATATTTCCTTAGACTTGTTTTCTAAACATTTGTCTGTCAGTCAACCTGCAGATACTTTGCTGAGTCCCCTTTATGTGCTCACCACTGTTCTGAGTAATGAGAACAGTCCCGAAGAGGTGCAAGGCCTGACACACACCGGGCACTCAATGATGTCTATTAAATTAATAAAATTGGCAGGGCGTGGTAGCTCATACCTGTAATTCCAGCACTTTGGAAGGCCAAGACGGGCAGATCATCTGAGGTCAGGAGTTTAAGACCAGTCTAGCCAACATGGCGAAACCCCATCTCCAATAAAATTCAAAAATTGGCCCAGTATGGTGGTGGGCAGCTGTAATCCCAGCTACTCAGGAGGCTGAGGCAGGAGAGTCGCTTGAATCTGGGCGGTGGAGGTTGCAATGAGCTGAGATCATGCCAGTGCACTCTGCCTGGGCAACAGAGTGAGACTCCGTCTCAAAAAAAAAAAAAAAAGAAAAATTAATAAAATCAGGCATGATTCCTTCTGTCAAGTATTTAACAGCTTTTTCTCTCAAATGGGTATTATGCTTCTCAAAGTTAAAAGCCCTATGTCTTCTACTTTGTATTCTTATTGCATCAGGTTCTCTCATTTGGTACACAATAAATGCTTTCTTAATGATTGAAGAAAATGTTTGGCTAGCAATAATATTGAAAAGAGGTCCTAAGGAGGCTCAAATCTTTCTTCTTAAGGTCAGCAGTAAAAATAAAACCTCACAATAAGTAAATAAAAATAAAAGCTTACATACTGTTCAAAATGTGCTTCTACATTCTTTTGTTGGTTCCAAGAGAGCAGGTTCATATTTGTTCTGTTCAAGACCGAATACCTTCAGAATGTTATAGACATTCAATTTTTATTGTTGAATGAATGAATCCTCATAACCACTCTGTGGGGTGATTGTTATTGCCTGTGTTTTGCAGAGGAGGAAACATATAAAAGTGATTCGTTCGAAGAAACAATTAATGGGGGAAGAACCAGGGCTTCATTCCAGAGTTTCTGTTCAAGTCTGGTGCATGCCAGAAAGTTTCATTCCATCTTCCCTCCAAGAGTGGAGCTCATCAATTTTTAGACCTTCGAGAGGACTTCCCAGTGGAGATAACTCCTGTGGAGGAGTTAGGGGTATGTGATGTTTGTAGGGGTGTGGAGTGGGTGGAGGAGTTACAGAAGAGATGAGGGGATTTCAGACAAAAGCAAGATTGCATGAACAAATTCATTGAAATGAAAGCCAGCATGGTTTTAGAGTACAATGAGCAGAGCATGGAGGGAGAGTGCAGAGCAGGCAGAAACAGATTGTGGAGGGCTTTAACAGCCATGCCTAGGAGTTTGGAGTTATTCTCAACTCACATGATAGGCCATGCTTGGTCCATGATTTGCTCCTGAGGGCCTAATCTGAAGCCTCTAAATGGGGCTGGGGATGTAAAGGACTGCACAATTAGTAACGTCCATGCTTGTAGCAGTCTTTTAGTAGTAGCTGCAGCATCAACTAGGTAGGCTGCCGATGACAGGTACCTCCCAGCACACTTGCTGTGACTGTACTCTCGTCTCTCCTGCTTAAGAAGGTATATTACTAGTGAGTGAGGTGCTACCACAGGGATGCCTTGAAAATTCTCTTCTTTCTATTGATTCCCGTTCTGTCCCGTGGAGCCACACATCATAGCCCTTCTAATATAGTATTTTACAATAATTTCTGTGTCCCCCAAGTCAGCAGCCGGGCCTTGGGCTGAACACAGCTTTGAGGTCTCACACACCTGAGAATTAGTTGCTCTACAAGCCATGTATTCTCTCTCCCACTCAACCCTGAGCTCTTTGAAAACAAACTGCTTTTCTGTTCATCACTGTATTCTCCTCCTGAAATTCCCCCCACCCCAAACCCCTTAGTGCTCAACACCACACCCTGCACAGTGTGGTATGTACTTTATAAAAACAACAATGGATGAACTGATAGCATTTAAGTCTCTTAAAACACCTAATGCCAAATTGATCAAGGCAATTCTTTACCAGTTGCTGAAGAAAAGGATGAGAAGGCACACAGAGGCCAAGCAACACGTTGGGGCCATGCTGCACGTCAGTGGAGGGGCCTCCCTGGGAAGCTGGCATAGGGACACTTGCCCAATGACGATGGTGACCAGAACACCAGGCAGATGGAAGCCACTGACTCTTTCTTCTACCTGTGACAGAACCATTCTCTCAGCAGGACTGAATGTGTCTCAAGCAGAAATGCCATCACTGTGGACTACTCCCTCACTGCCTCCTCCCCTCATAGTACTGGGGAACTTATCCAAGCTTGTCAAAATTAGATGACAAGACCACTCCACAGAGTCTGAGTCTAATTCTGGACAACGACACATGTTCTGGACAGTATCTAACAAATCTCTGGTTCTCAATAAAGGTTGTTATTCATAGTAATAATAACAACCCCCTGGGCCCATGCCGTAATTCCACTCGCCATACAGTGGAATGTGGCGCAGGGCAGAGTTCACTTGCTTCCCAATTAAGAGAATTCTGTTGTGAAAGGACCCAAAGGGCCTCACTTAAAGGCTGCCTGAGAAATAGTATCATGTCAGGGCAGTTTAGTTCAGAAAGTGTTTATCGAGCCCCTCTGTCATGCCAGACATCAAGGCAGCTTTATAAAGCAAAGCACCAAGCAGAATCTTCACGTCAGAACTCTTTTGTACCTTATTCATTTGTGTACATTTTTTTCTGATTTCCTCTCATCCCAATAATTTCTCCTTAAAACGGATATGTAGGGAGAATTACATGAGAGAGTGGTCTTGATCCTCAGCGACTTCAGTAATCTTTGTCATCCTTTGATATTCCCAACTACACCTAGTTTACCCAGTTACACACAAAAAAAGAATTTGGATATAGGTGATAATAATAATAATAATAATAATAGAAATAATACTCACTGACACCTTTCTATGTGCCAGACACTCTATAAGTGTCTTTCTATATCTGTTTTCATTTGCTTCTCGCAACAACCTGAGGAAGTGGGGAGTATTTTTTTTTTTTTTTTTTGAGACAGGGTCTCACTTTGTCACCCAGGCTGGAATGCAGTAACACAATCACAGCTCACTGGAGCCTTGACCTCCTGGACTCAGATGATCCTCCCACCTCAGCCTCCCAAGTAGCCAGGACCACAGGTGTGCACCACCACACCCAGCTAATTTTTTGTATTTTTTTTTTTTTTTAAGAGATGAGGTTGTGTCCTGTTGCCCAGGCTCATCTCAAACTCTTGGGCTCAGGAGATCTACCCACTTCGGCCTCCCAAAGTGCTGGGATTACAGGCATGAGCCACCATGCCTGGCGTCTCATCTTTTTTTTTACAGGGCTCAGAGAGGGTAACTTGAGCAAGATCACACTGCTAGTAAGAGGTGGAGATGGAGTCAAACCCAGCTCCTAGCTCATCTGGCAGCAGTGTCCCTGCCTTAACAGTTGTGCTAAACTCTATCTAAATCACCTAAAGTTTCTTGTTTGGAAAATCCTAGCCAGTCAAAGGCTGGCCACTTTTATATAAGATGATTGAAGAGGGAATGTTCGTTGAGATCATTGTTCGGATAGGGATTTGATTGTAAGCGATTGGTGCTAATTCTTACATTTAGGATTTTCATTCTTTCCCTGATTTATGTTTGGGGAAACTACTTCAGCCTCAGGAGAAATGATTAGGCACATGATATAACTGTAGCTACTGAGCTGGGCAGTGTGGGCACCTTCCTCAGAAATGGAAGTCCACTGAGGGCCAGCATCCCTGAACCTTGCTCACTGTAGAGGGGAAAGGAAGATAGAGATAAGAGGGGAGAAGAGATGAGCGAGATGAAGTACTCACTTCAGTCTTCCTCCTACTCCAGCCAGTGGTACCAATGGCAGATAATTAACTCCTTTTTAAATTTAATTATTTTATTCTGACAAGAACAGATGGGTCCACTCAGCGACACCCTGCTGGCAGACAGTTGTTTCAAAGCCAAGGAAGTAGAAGGGAGTAAAGTGAAGAAAGATTTGTGCTAGGATAAATAATTTTCTTAAACCATTGGAAGAAAAAATGTTTACAAAAAGTGAATGAAAGGGAGTAGTAAATGGAGATATTAAGTTACAACAAAATATTGGGAGGTCCTTCTTAATTACTCCAAGGGGGTTACTTAGTACGCATGCAATTAATTGCTAATGAAAATTCTATTATAATACCCACATTTCTTTATTATTTCCCCCATTTGTCACAGATTTATAGTGCAGTAGAGCTGACCAGAATGTAGAGATCAATCAAACTCAACTCCTTATTTTTAAACAAGATGACAAGGGTCCAGGAAAGTTAAGAATAGTGATAACAACACTAACTTGAGTATTTCCGATGTGTGAAGCCCTTTGTAACTATACTTTCTAACCCTCCCATTAATCCTGCAAGGAAAGTAGTATTGCCCCATTTCACAGATGAGAAAACTGAGGCTCAGAGGCTAAGTACTTGTACTAAGTGCCACAACTGGCAAATGCTGCATAAAGTGTTTGAATCCAGCTAGCCTAACTCGAAAGCCCACATCCTCTCTATGTCTCTGACGAGAAAGAAAACCAAGGACTAGGACTGATAGACGATGACAAGCCTGTGCCCAGAACTCCAGTCTCTTAACTCTGAGAGCAGGACTTTTCCCACATTACCTTGCCTCATAAGAGACCCAGGGTTTTTCCTTTTAGCTTCTGGCTTACTGGCTGGCCATCTCTTACATATGCTGTTCCTAGAATTAATTATTACACTGGGGCCCTCAGCCCACAGTAGTCAGGATTCCCAGACTCTTTGGCCTCTGCCATCATTTGGCCAGAATTCACATATAGAAAGTTATTTCCTTTTTTAGCCAGCAAGTGTTCTTGGCTGCAGCAGCGTCTACTGCCCGGTTCTTGGCTGGCCAAACAGCGGGCTCTGGTGTTCCATTGATGTGAAATCATAACAAGAACAACAGAAACAGCAATTGTTAGGTGGAGGAACTTCCGGTCTCTAAGGAATAATAGGGCTAGGACCCTGCTTGCATTACTCTCTAGTGGTGTAACCCTAGGCAAGTCACTTATCCTCCCTATTTCTAACTCATCTAACAAATGGGAATGTTTACTCATGGGGATAACATAATATGTGGACATATGGAGGCACCTAGAACAGTATCTGGCACATAGGCACTCAATAATATTAGTTCCTTGTTTTCTTTTCTGACATTTGCAGTAAAAACTCCTCTCAGACATGTTCCAACTAGCCAACTTGATGGAGAATCTGATAGTGCCTCAGGCTGGTTAGTGACACAGCAAGGACCCTCACGTGGCACAGGTACAAGAGGGTAACTGTCAAGTGATGGGAAAAATACAGACAATGGAAAGTATAGTAATTAGTCTATAAATCAGTTATTTCAGTAGGCATCCAGACCTCCTGGGTCAAGCTGGAGAAGCAGGGAGGTGTAGGGCCTACTCAAATTAAGCCACTCTCATTCCTGTTTCAAGTCCAGCCTGCCTCCTAATGTGTTTTTAACTCAAGCTTTTAGGCCTGAAGTTGGACTCTACATGGCTCCATATTATAAAATGTATGCCTCATGGGATGCCTCTCTTCTGAGAAGCTGCAGCACTCTTGAATCTGATCACCAAGCAGAAGGCACACTCACAATGAGAGGTTTGAAGCAGGCTCAGTTCTACTTGGAAGAGAAAGGGGGGGTTGTCTACTCCGTGATCTGAGGGTAAGGGACATCTTGATCCCTAGCCACCTCTGTCCTCTCCTGAGGTTCTGAATCATGGAGTTGCCAGGTTGGAGTACGATTCTGGGAATCCCCTGTGAAAATGCAATGTTATCATTTCATGAAGAGAGGCTCTTTTCTGGTTCCAGCTGTTTCTTGGTGATCCTAGACAAGATATTTCCCCTCCCTGAGCCTCACTTTGCTCAACAAAAGAGTTGAGGCTCTTCCATCTCTAAGTTAGAACATCTGGGGAGTCTATGACTTGCCCAGCTGTGATAGTATGGCAAGTTAGTGGCAAAGCCAAGAAGCAAGTCCAGAGTTTCTGACTTCCAGCTTAGAGGACAGCAGAAGGAGTCCTAGAAGAAAAAAAATCTGTGGTCATAAAAACCCAGCAATACCTCCTCGGAAGTATATGTCATGGGAAGCCTTTCTAGTTGATAGCCATTTAAAATACTTTATTTAATCCTCATAAAACCTTATGAAGAAGATATTTATTAGCATCTTTGGCAGATGAAGAAACTGAGTGTAAGAGACATTAAATAATTTTCCTAAGGTCACGTAGCTAAAATCCTAGCCAAATGTGACTTCAAATGCCCAGGTTCTTCCTTCAGCCGTACCCTTCAATGAGATAAACTCTAAGATCCCTCTGTGATTTTTTCAATACCTCTGATTCTGTGACCTCCTGACTCTCAGTGGGCTGTTGAATACTAAACTTTACTTGCCCATTATTTGCTAATATATCAGAAACAATTTATTCTCAAAGTGGCATCAAGCTGGCATCACCAGGAGCCAGCAGCTTGCAACAATAGGAAGGAAGTCAGCTTCCTTTCCAGGAACCCTGAAACTTTCCAGGAAAATGGTCATCTCTCCCCTTTGTCCAGCTCAACCCTTGAGCCCAGGTTGGTGCTTATGGGAGTTCATTCACACAGACAGCTACTGGAATCGTGAGTTCTTCCCTAGGACAGGGGGCAGAGCTTTGACCTTGGGTTTCCCCGGCCCTGAAGATGGTAGGTCATCCAGTTCCTGTCCTGATTGATCCACATAGACAGGTCCCCTGTCCTAAGAGGTGGGGTCAGCCAGTACCCGAGAGACCAGGCGGCACTGTGGCAGCACCCTGCACTGCCTGTGGCCCACGAACAGCCAGTGCAGACGATGAAGAGCAGGTGGGCAGGTGGGAGTCAATACCAACAAATAGAATCGTAGAGACGCTCAAGTGGAAGAATCAGGGAGACTCAGGGAGAGATGGAGGCTGGGAAAACACAGCCAGGGAGATGGAGGTTAGAAGAGCCCTTGGTATGAGTGAGCAGGGCAGGGTGCTCTCCCAGCTCAATCAGCCCTGACTCACTGTGTCGTCTCCTACAAGCCATGCCCTTCTCTAGTCCTTGTTCTCCTTATTTGTTGAAGAAGGAGGCTGGTAATGGAAGAGACCTCTTTAAGTTCTAATGTTCTCGAACCTTAGGCAGTACTAGGAGAGGGGACAGGAATGAGGCAGTTAAGATATAAGAACAGTGACCAGCTTCAGGAGCCCAGCAAGCACACCTCTGGGGTTCCAAGGCAGAGACAAACTGGGGCTGCCTGATTCTGTGACTGCTGTGGCTCTGTGGACGTCACATGTGTGGGTGAGGGATGCTCAGAGAGTGCTGGGTTGGAAGTCACAGAATCCCCTCCTGGTACTCTCTGCTCTGCAGGCTGTGGTCACTGGGACTCCTCACCGGCCGGTGCTGAGTGAGGAAAAGGCTTGGAGGGACAGCCAGGGGAGCAGGCTCCAAACAGCTCTGCTGCCCCGGGCAACCTGGCAGGAAGGTAGAAAGTTCAGAGCTGTCCCTAGAGAGTAGTGAATCAAGGACTGGGCTGGGCTGTGACTCTGGGGACAGTGGGTGGAGGGGATGGAGGCTGCTTGGCTTGCTGATGTGAAAGTCAGGTTAGAAGACCTCTAAATACCAGCTGGTGTCCCCAGCCATGAGCCACAGCACCAGGCAGTCAGAGGCGCTGCACCTCCACACGCTCCCCTTGGTCTCTTCTCTCCAATTTTGCTGGTTCCAGGTCTCCTGACTCCCTGTTCGGTGCTCTCTCCATTGCCCTGCCTCCCCCAACAGCCAGCTGGACCTCTTTGTGCCAGAGCCTTTTTCCAGAAACAGCAACCCCAGTGATTTGCTGGGGAGTGAGAACCAGGAATCCCTCTATTATAATGGAATACTGCGAGGGAGAATAAGGAAAAAACTTAGCAACAGAGCAAGATGAGAAATCCTTGGGTTGAGCCTCCCTTTTTCAGTGGTTCTGAGCTGCCTTTGAGCCTCTGGAATCACAGCCTTACACACCGTTACTGCTGTATAGAACCAGAGGGAACTTTCCACTACAAATTCCCCATTTTATAGATGAGGAAACCGAGGCCCAGCATGGGGATGTGTCTGTTACAAGGCCTCCCAGCCCCTGAGTTTGGGCTCTTTCACTACCTGCTCAGAAGAAAGGTCCAGGAAGAAACTAACAGAATCTTTGTGCCCCGTGGTCTTCTACTTCACACCGCGAGTGGAAAGGAGACCTTCGGTGGGCGCTTTCCTGGGCTTCCTAACTGGTTTCACACGCCTCTTTCCTCTGGCTGCAAGTGGCAGCCTGGATCTCTCAAATGCGGCCACTGCACAGCGGGGACATGATACTCTGCAGGAAACTAAGCAGGGAATATTTTTAAACCATCCAACATGCCTTAGGGAGGAAAAAAAAAAGCAGAACAGTCCCCTAGATGCTTCGAAAAGCATTTTGAAAAAAGATTCCATGCCTAGCAGAAGCATCGTAAAACAGTGTTGGTTTTACTTTTAAAGGGCCAATTCCCTCTAAGAAAAGTTCTTAGGAATGGACTGGTGACCCACTTCTAAGATGCCCCCAGAGGACCGAACTCCACAAGAGTAGGCTGGAACCCCAAGGGCCCTCCACTCACAATTCTCCAGCTCCCTCTAAATCAAAGAAGTAATTTATCTGCTGCTTCGCTAAACCTTCCTTTTTAATATATCCAAACCTCACTATCGCAGGAAATAGTGAGAGGGGTAGGGAATAAACTCACAGGTAGAAAGAAAGAGCTTTCTTTTTATCCAGCCCAGAATCCAAGTTCCCCTCTTCTGGCTACTTCATATCCACTTGTAGTTTTAGTTGTTCAAATTCAAGTCTACTCTTACCTGCTTCTTTTCGTCCTCCCTGGACTTTCCTTCCGTTGGCTTCTTCACACTCTGGCTGCTGCTTCTCCAACTGCCCTCGCTCTTTGCTCTTGAGCCTGTCAGTTGTTCCTCTTCCACCCTCTTTTTAATCGTATCTGTCGCCTTCCCTCCTCCCACTTCTTCCTACTCTTTCTCTCTCCACCCCTTTTCCCCTCTGAATCCCTCCCTCCCCTCTCTCTTTTGTGCTCTTAGAGTCTTTGCTCTAAAAGTCTTCTTCCCTCTACCTTCTTGTAGCCTCAGCTCACTGTGCTCCCCCTCCCTGGCCCCCAAGGAGGCAGAGCCCCCTTCTCCCTGCGGCCCTCCCCCGTCTGTCTGCCTGTCGTCCTTGTCCTCACGGCAGTCCTCCACATTGCCTCTCCCCCGGGCCGGGCCGCTGGTGCACCACCTCCCTAGGTCTCTTCCTGCCCACCCCTCTGCTGCGTCGCCTCAGACTTCCCAGGCCATGGCTTTCCTGGAGCATCAGCAGGAAAATTGGCACTGCCTGAGAGATCCCTCTTCCCATCCTTTTCCCATCATCAGAAAAAAAGAGGGTGTTCACTCACGTAACAAGCCTTTTTTTTGGGATTTCCACTATGCCCATACCAAAGAACTGAGCATCAGCCAGCACAGGAAAACACGGTCTCACAAGTCACAACCATCTAGCACCCAGAATAGGCACCAGGACTAACCTGCAAGGAAAGAAATGCTAACCTCCCAGCTCCAAAAGTGGAGGGCATTCCTCACTGCCAGAATCATACTCTCTCCCCTTCTCCTCTGAAGAGAGGCGAGCCACTTCTATGCATCAGGCACTGGGTTAGAGACTTCATATGTATGTTGCCTACTTTTATCTCAATCATTCTCATTTCCAATTCTATAAGGTAGACCTTTTCTGCATTTTACATTTGAGGAAACTGAGGTTCAGAGAAATTAAGTAACATGATTATGGTGACCCAGTGTGTAAAGTAAGTGGTAGAATCAGGATGAGAAGTTTTCACCAATGCCAACGTTTACCTTATTGCTCCTTCCATGAAAGCAAACAGGTCTCCCAGCTGGAATTGAATTGATGAAAGTAAGGTTGGCTCTTGTTAGATCGCATGCCACAGGTGACCACATTCAGAAACTGGGGTATCTCTTCCCTCAAACCCTCCCACTCTCCAACTTCTCCCCCAGACGACTCAACTTAAACAGTTAGCCATGGACCCAGTTTGAATGAGGTAAGTGTCAACAACAGAGGTCACTATGAGGGGACTGAAATCAGACAAAACAATGACTAAGAGCCCACAGATTATGAGAGCTAAAGAAAACTTCAGTGATCATCTGGAACAGCCAGGGAAACTGAGGCCCAGAGAAAAGGCCACTTGTCAATGTCATATACAGTTGTAGGTGGCAGAGGCAGGGCAGGAAGCCAGAACGGTCTGTTTGCTCCACATCATCACCTGAAACATGCCTTTCCCACAAAGCACCGGTCACAAGCATTCCAAGATTCTACAAAGATGTTTCCTTAATGGGCTATATTTTTCATGGGTGAATGAGCTTAGGATCAGCAAGAGGGAAAAGAGCAGGGGGCTGAATTTCCAGTTTTGAGGGAGGCAACAACCCTGGTGAAAGCACATGCAGGATTCTTGATTCCTTAGCCAGAGTTTACCCCACTTTTATGCAGCATCAGAGCAGATTCTGGAGCCAGCCTGACTGGGTTTGAATCCTGACTTTGCCACTTACTAGCTGTGTGACATTGGACAAGTTAACCTCTATGCATCTCAGTTTCCTCAACTGTAAATTGGGAATATTATGTACTTCACAGGGCTGTCATGAGGACTAACGAGGATATGAAAGGCACATAGAATGGTTGGGAACACGGAGGTACTGTAGATGTGGCTGCAAAATAATTACAATACAATACAATACAATACAATACAATACAATACAATACACAATACTATACCTACCTCCTCCCTGCCCGTACTTGCCATGGCTGTACCAAAGTCCTGTGATGGAATTCAGCATATGAAACCAATAGCAAACCCTGCTTCTCCAAAACAGATTAGTTCCACCAGTTTCACACTGTGACTTTGCCCCTACATCTCAGCTTCTCTACAAGAGCAGGGGACACCTAGCAACATCTTGTTATCTCCATCCAGGAGGTAGCCAGTTAAAGAACCCATAAAGTCTCAACTGGGAGATGGTCTGAAAGTGGGGAAGGTTTAGTGGAATGTACACTCCTAGATCACTGGGCTGCCAGAGGAGAGATGATCTCGGGCAGGCCTGGAGATGACAGGAGAATGCCGTTTTCCTCTGAATGTGCAGAAGGGAAGAGCTGCCCAGATACAGACACACTAACGACCCTGGAGGGAGAGCAGGGTATACAAGGTAAATTTTCCCTTCGTGCTTGGCTGACAGAGAACTAAAGCAGTGAAGAAACTGGATGGGTTGTTAGGGGAAGTCCAGGAAGTTTGCTTCAGGGCTGGGAGAAGGCTGAGGTCTCTGACTGGGATCATCCCAAGTCAACGAGGTCAAACAGCTCTCCAGCCGGGACTGTTCAGCATGGCTTCCAGGACAGCTATGTTGCTTCAGCAAGGCCTTCAGAAATGTGGTTTATTCCTCACCTGGCTCAGGCACCCAGAATAGGCACCAGAACTATCCTGAAAGTTAACTAACAAAAGTTAAAAAAAAAAAAAAAAAGGTCATTTGGGCTGTGGATGTGAGGTGATTCTCTAAAGGGACTGAAACTGGCGATCACCACATAGCTAAGAAGCACCCCAAAAGCAGGTGTTCAATGCACCAGAGAAAAGGACAGGACAAGGGCCAAGGGTGGGAACTGAGGTTCTGCCATCACCTCCCCTTCTTCCTCACATTTCACACAAGAAACGGTCTTAGAAAGGAGTGTCAAAGTCTGTTCCACACATTACAAAATATGGAGGACTCAGAGAGGAGTTAGAGAGGAAGCCCAAACCAGTCAAAGAATTAGTAAATCATACCTGAAAGGAAAGGCTGTAGAGGTGGGATTGCAAAATAAACTTTATTCAACATTTAATATGTGCCAAGCATTGTACCAGGTACATTTCACATTCCTTTACTTTGAGAAAAAAGACAGAAAAATGACCTTATAAAGACCTTCTCAACTATAATCAGGGTCTCATCTCAACAAGAATCATTGGCTACTCCTATGGGCCCAGCCTATTCTATGTGAGAAACAAGGGCCCTCCTTGTGCATAAGGAGCTGATGTTCTAGTTGTAGAAAAGAGCTGTTGAGAGAAAACAATTAGTATAAAGGGTAGTATCCTATATGTATGTGTGCCAGTGATGATATAATAAAGTGCTAAATTATGTGAGAAAAAAATCATTTGGGAAACAGCTTCATACAGAGTGAGCTCTTTGTTGTGCTATAATGAAGGGGAAGAAAAAGCAATGTTTTTTATATTATTTATTTATTTTAATTTCAACTTTTATTTTTAATTCAGGGGGGTACCTGTGCAGGTTTGTTAGCTGGGTATATTGCATGATGCTAAGGTTTGGAATACAGTTGATCCTGTCACACAGGTAGTGGGTATAGTAACCGACAGTTTTTCAACCTTTGCCTCTCTCCTTCCCTCCTCCTTCAATGCAATAGACACTATTACCCCCTAGGGTCTATTGTTGCCATCTTTATGTCCATGAGTACACAATGTTTAACTCCCACTTAGAAGTTAGAACATGCGGTATTTGGTTTTCTGTTCCTGTATTAATTTGCTTAGGACAATGGCCTCCAGCTGCATCCACATTGCTGCAATAGACATGATTTTGTTCTTTTTTTTATGGCTGCGAGGAACATTTATCGAAGGCCTTCTATGTACCAGGTATTTTCACCTCACAACACTGTCAGATAGACAGTATGTTATTATTTCCATTTCATGGAAAAGAAAATTCAGACTCAGAGAAGTAAAGTAACTTTCCCAAGATTACTCAATAAGTACAGAAAAGGTTCACCTGGTGTGAAAGATTAGGCACTTTTTCCCCATGGCTGTAGAAGAAATTCTCATGAAACCTACTGGCCTGGTAAGACAGGTGGGCACAGGGCCCTCCAGGTAGGAGCAAACAGACCTGCAGATAGGACAAGAAGAACGGACTCTAACCCTAGCAGAAGAGATTGTATTCAGACCTGATTATGAAAGTGGTTCAGCACGGTCACTGATTTCCAGGATGAAGCACCATCACCTTCTTTACAAGTCTTTTAAAACTGGCATACTGCAAATTGCTTCTTTTTTTATTCCCTCTAGAGGCAAGGGGGCAAATGAGGAGATCTTCCAGTGTCTTCTCTACCCAATGAATCTCTGACTCTACAAGTTTCCTTCCCAAGACACTGTGGTCCAGGGCTGCCTCCCCTATCACCTACATGATAATATGTGCAAATTATTTGTCAGTATCTAATTGCAAGAATGGTGAGTCCTCTGTGCCTCATTGGAGGGCATAAATGGGTAATTGGAGCCATGGTTAGTGGGCTGAGGTCACACTTTTCTGATGGTTAACATGCAGACACCACAGGCATAAGCCGTCCCGTTTAAGACTTTTACTGGCTAAAAAGGGCAAGAACACTGTTTCAAGAAGCAGAAAGCAAAAGAAACACAGACTTCCTTGCTCCTGCTGTTTTGATTTATGAGCCTACTCTCATCATATCTCAAGTTTTAATCCCAAAGACAAGGTCAAGATCATGTCTACACTTCTTAGGCTTAAGGCAAATGGAATCCTCAGGGATCCCAGGCTTAAGAACTCTTGTGATGGGCTTGGAACAATAGTCTCCATGGACATGAGAAGAGGAGAGGGAATCCACTACCAGCCCTGCCGAATTCTCTCCCACTGAAGTCAGGGCATGAAGGCAACAGCTGGGTGCAGTTTCACTTGAGCTCTGAGAGTCCCAGGACTGGGGATTTTATTCTACAGTAAAAAATGAGACCTTGGCCTGGGAGATCTTGGGATGGTATTTGCCCTCTAGATCCAGACAGAAATCTCTGAAAGCAAGAAGACTGAGAGCCTCATATTTTGGTCTGATTATAAGCAAGGTCTAGAGTTTGTAGTGCATCCCTGGTACATATTCCTCCCTCCTCTAACAATTTATGCATCCTTGATCCACCCCACCTACCTACCTCACAATACTAAAAAGGTCTTGCTTTTCCTTTATTTTGAAAGGTGTTTCAGACATGTCCAAGGTATAGTATTAGGTGGTCTACTGGAAAAAAAAAAAAAAGTCATAAGACACA